AAATCCCTTTTTTTAATGTAAGTTTATAAAATAAAGGTTACACGTGGGATGTCTCTATCTAAAGAAGTACCATCACACAATGAGCATTTGTACCACCTCCATCACACGCCTGCCATGGGACCGCATGGCCTCCCTGTAGAAACACATGGGAAAAGCTCTCTGCCCTTCAACAAGGTTGCAGACCATCACTAATTAGCAGAGCAGAGGGCGGAGGGCTGCTGGAGACTGTCGTTTGATGGTAACACAACGCTCGTTCCTCACGCAATAATCTCCTCCGTGTACAGATCTAAGTGAAAGAATGATAATAAAATGGCAGCATTTCCTCGGGCCCTGTTATCCTCTGTGATTTGGCTTTAGCGTCCGGGGGGGGGACTATGGTGGAGTGAGTTGGACCCGCTGAAGGGGAAGAAGAGATGAAGGGTATCGGAGAGCATTTGTTTCATACAAGAAGGGCTGAGGGTGATAGAACAGGCGTTGAGCCAGAAAAGAAATGACCCCCCCCCCCCCCCCCCCCTATTTCTTAATCTGCTGTGATTCTCGTGTCAATTGGTAAAGGGGGTGTGACCGATAGAATAGATTCCCAACTCAAAGGCTTTATTCCACTCCCTCCCTCCCTCCCTGCCTCCCCCTTCTTTAATTCTCCCTCTCTGTTGTCTTCCTGCGTCGTGCAGCGGGAAAAAAAGTAAAGAGTTAAAGAGGACGACTGAAGGATCTCTGCCAAAAGTGTAACGTGAAAAATTTAAGCTGCAAGAAAGAGCCAGCAGCATTAGCTGGTTAAGTATCAGCGGCAGAGAAGGGGTAATGAATGTAGAAGGGGAGACATATGAAATGTCATTAATGTTAATTCTAATCACTTTTTGGCTATTAAGCACAAATTAGTGAAGGCAATGTTAAATGTCATGGTCTGTCCTGGGATTCACATAAGAGAGGGTGGGGGCCACCGAATAGGTTCTCATTTACATGCTTAAGATCCAACTTAATTCTCACAAGGGGTGATGGAAAATGAAGCCGAGTCGTAAACCGATGACGATGAAACGCATGGCGGGGGAAAAACACAAACGTTTTCTGGCGGCTGATTCTTCATTGTTCGTCCTCAAGGTTATTTTCATGAGCTTGTCGTCGGGCGTCATTCCCTTGAATAATTCCGCTCCGGCTTTTCCTCCCTCTGGCTTTAAGGTTTGCGCTATTTAAGACCGATCATGTCAATGTAGAAAAGAATTAATCCCGCTTAAAAATATCTTACATGACTAGAATGTATGTTAACAGCCCCCTGATTCTGTCTCTGGATATAGACTTTAGTTTGGTGGAGTGGGAGATAGTTGAAGTAAATAATCATGTGGGCTATATATCAAGAGGAGTTCATTGTCAAGTTCACTTATGCGCTCAGCGGGGCTTGATTTTCATGTAGGTACTCCGTATCTGTCGAGCACTCTAATCCTGGAAAGAAATCAAGGCAGTGAACAATGCGGCGCTTTTAAAAAGCTGCAGCGCCACAGAAACCATGTCATGTAATTCATTGCGATGGACAGATTAACCTCAGCGCTCCGCGGGGGCCTCCACATTCTTGTCCTCATTGTTCTAATGGCCCCACAGTCTTTGGGAATATCCCGTGTGTTTTATTTTGTATTGTTTTTTCTCTCTCTCTCTCTCTCTCTCTTTCTTTCCTCTGTGGCTACAGTTGACTGTGGCAGAGTAAATAACATTTGATATGCATAAACAGCCCCTTCCTATTCATTACTGTCAGCGCGTCGGAGTGCAGGAGGCGGAGGTCAGCATGTGAAGGTCCTCCTCAGGCAGGAGAAACGCCTGTGGTAGCTGTCACTCCTCAACGCCCCCCACCCCCCTCCCCCTACCGACACAACTCAACCCCCCCAGCCCTCCCTCCGTCCCTCCCTCACTCCCCTATTAGCACAGGCTCCGGGTCATAACCTTTCCGTGGCATTTTGCGATTCCACAACCCTTTGATTAGTGCAATATTTACATATTTCACAGTGGTGAGGGCGTTCTTGTGTCGCAGACACTTGAAGTGTTGTAAATGCGTTTGGCCTTTTGCCTGGGAAATGCGGAGGAGTCGGACTCCGGTGGTATCTGTAGTCAAGGCTGCCGCGCTGATATACGCCGGAGTGGGTTTTGAGTATATTTACCCCTTTCACCGCCCACGCCGCCGCAGCCATCGCATATGTGCCGAGTGCCATTTGGTCTGCAATGTGGCCCCTTGTCCTCCTGGGGAAGGCTGTTTAGCAGCCATTAGAGAGGGATAGTGCTCCCTGGTGGCAGATACAGATCGTGCCCTCTGCCTTGGTCGGTACACACAGCGGAGCTCCAGAGGGTTGCGGGCAGAGATGAGGAGAGGGAGCAACTCCGGACGGACCGCAGTTCATTCCTGAATGCAGTAAGAGAGACCAGCGGGCACGCTCATGGTTTGCCACACACTGCGGTGTACTGGTCAGGCACTGGCATGCTATTCTATCACCGATTGGGTTTTGAAAACGAAAAATTGTAGAAGAATTACGCAATTCTGGTCATAATTAGTGCAGTCAATGTGAGCCCGTCTCTTCTCGGGCCCAGAGTGATGTCCTCTGTCACGGGTAGCGTTGTGCATAGCCAAATACAACAACTGCACCTCAGATGAATCGAGTGGGACTTTTAATCGTACTAGTGGTGTGTTTAAGGATTCCAATGGTATTATGTTCGGAATGATTTCATTTGATCGTTTCAATGGGCCCGAGAAGAGGCTGCGTCTCCCAGACGAGCGAGCATGCTGGCATTGGATTGGCTGAGAGGGTGGGTCCCCTTCACTTGGATGGCTTAATGTCATGCACATCTAAAGGCAGAATAAACGGTCAAATTGGAATGCAGGGTGATAAGCTGTTACTTTCATTTAAACAATATAATATCTTTGTTTGGAGAAGACGAGTGAATCCTGTCTACTTTCTTATGTTAGTGGCGTGTGAAATGGGTTTGCTTGCCAGATTTGCCTAAAGTCCTATAAATTGTCGGACACAGCCCCCTCAGATCCTAACTCATGAAGGTGTGGAATGAACAGGTTTCCCGTGCCGTTCAACAACCATAGAAGCATTTCTTTGGCAGCGTACTGATGCCTGACATGCCTTTAAACAGTCACAACTAAAAACCTACATATTCTGCTAAAACACAAAAGTTGTCAGTTGGTAAAGCAAAGTCTTCCAAAGAGAACGGCGGCTTTCTTTTGCAAAGATGTGGAACAAGACAAGCCCGCGATACTGTGTTCCCCACCGCGCTCATCCATCAAATCTGAGTCAGCCCGACGTTCGGCGTATTTCCCGTCTGCGTCAGTCATTCGGCCCGTCAGTCAGCTTCTCGGCGCCGTGTGACAGAAAGGAGAGATGCCAGCGAGCAGGTTTTCCAGGGAGCTCAGGGCCGTGGCGTCTGCCTTCGCAGTGACTGATGAGGTTGCGAAGAGTGACGGGCAGCTGCAGTCTTCTCTCAGCCCGCGGGCCTGCCTGGCATTAACGTTATGTGCCATGTTCTCAGAGGGAACCTGTCATTCACCCGTCGCTCAAACCGACAGGCAGACGGCGCGCGTAGACGCCGAGCGTGAGAGAGACTGGCGAAATCCCCAGGTGGTCCCTTGTAGTTGAAGGGTGAGGGTTTCTCATCACCGTCGCTCGGGCAGCAGCTCGACTTCAAGCGCTCGGCCACACGTGAACGTGGAGGTGCCAACGGGCCCGTGGCGAGGACCAAAGTCGCCGTCCATCAAACATGTCACATGCTATGAAAGGGGAACAGCTTGCCGTACGGCTGAGGCCTGTGCTGTTTTCCCCTCGTCTCCGTGAATTCATCTAGTTGATGGGACGAAGAGGCAGATTTCACACCGTTTGGAGCGGAGAGCCGCTATGAAAGAGCATTTTCTTTCATGGATGGAAAGTTTGTTGTGAGTGTGGAATTACTTCTATTGGAGAGTTTTCACCAGAATGAGACGATAAAAAGCTGACGGAGGAGGTCAGACGTTAGTCACACCGTGAGGCTATATCCCTGTTTTCATGAATTGATAGAAGAGATCAGAAAGGTGTCACCGTAAATGTTAAAGTGGCAATAAAGTGGCAATTATGGTAATAAGGTTATATTGTACTAAACAGCAGACAGACACATCAGTCCCTGAGGAGCCGGTAGGGACGAGAAACAGAGCAGAAGAGAGAGAATGATGGTATTAGACTGTCCAGATGAGCAGAGGTAGGACTTAATGCGAACATGTGTTGAAGTTATAAAGAGAATGCATGGATCTCATTAGGGAAAGTAAATAAACTGATGTACTGTTATTAAGTTATATAACTCGGGTTTATATTTTCACCATGGAGCCTACAGGTTCGGCAGATGGTGAATGTGGTTTGTCCTGCTTCTCGCCCACACAAGAATATAACTGGTTTAAATGTAGGAAAAGTACCTAATGAATGAGAAACAACTGAAAGGCAGGCTTGGTGGAGGACTTAGCAGAAATGGGAAATAAAATGTTTTTATTTTTAATAATGTGTAATAACCTGAAACTAGTAATTGCTGTGCATGTTTTTTAACGTCATAATGTGATTATTATCACACAGCGTGTTTCTACAGGAGCCCAGAGCGGACAAACCCACTGACTCCATCGAGGCCCCCCCCCACCCCCCCCCTGACTTAAAGCCACATTTAGTTTTAACACAGGACTACTTTTTTACAAGGTGTAAATCCTTACGACGATGGCCGAATCGGAGTTTGTGGAAAGGTTGTTGTTGTACTGCAGCTGCAGTCAAGGATGAATTGTGGACATGAATATTTAGGATTGATAAGCCAGTGCAGCTCGTGTGCACAGGGTGGACTCCGATGACAATGGATGGACACGACAAGAATGCGTGATGCCGTGATGAGCCTGGTTTTGATCTGGGGCCGAGACCTTATAGATTTTACACGGGTAGTGTGACTAAAATTAGATTCTTTCGTAAACAGCAAATGCGTTTGAAGCTTTTGGATGAAACGCCGCCAACAGGTGCCATTTTGTGTGTCTTTATTGTGGACATGACATTACATCTTTTTGAAATGATGTACAAAAGTGTGTACAACAGAACTGAGAATGGCTCAGACGAGGTAGAGCTTTCACATCGGTTGCTGGCATGAAAACTACACAGTATAAAAACAAAAACAACCCAGGAACATCAAATTAAACAAACGCACCCGTCTGCCTCTGTCCTCTAATCCTTTTTGAAGTGATAATAAATACAGATACCAACCAAATACATTTGGAATAATAATGTCGTCTAAGGTAAATTAATCATGAAGTTCACAACAATTAAAAAAAGCAATACGGACACAAATGATACAACTTAGAAGGCGTGATGAAAACCAACCAACCGAAAGAAAAGAACAACAGCTGCAGGCCCCTCGTAGGGAGAGCAGCAACAACTAGCTACTGAACAAATCCTACAGTTTAGCAAAGAGAAAGACAAAAAAAACACACTTTTACATCTTTTGTAAGAAAATGCAGCGGTGCTGCACCTAGAGCGTTATCAAACCTCCAATGAGCAAACAAAGCTAAGACGCCGCGCGGCTGTCAAATCATTTGTCATTCGTATCTGTGGAATCATCCGAAGAAAAAGCCTCGCAGGCAGAGATGACGTGAAGCGTGTTAGCCGGCACCATTGAAAAGACACTCAAAGAAACCTTAGCTAGCGTTGAACAAAGTTGAGAATGGTTAAAGCAGTAACCTAGTCTAAGTGCACTAGTAATGCCATTTGGTTTCTACTGCTGTATATAAGGGTTTGGTAAGAGTGAATTACAGATATACCGTTTATATATATATACACTTCATAGTTTTTCTAAGTCACACTTCGGAGTACAAATTCATAACTGAGGAGTTAATCTTAAAGGGAATTCTGTACAACATTGGTATTAGTACTACACTACCTCGAAGGCTAGAGTATCCGTTTCAAGTATTTTCACTATCCACACCTTCAATATACACATTTGTGTATCGTTAGGGATATTCAAGCACACAGCGTTGTATGCATAACTCAACAACCTACTGGTAAAGCAACAATTTCATCATCATCATCATCATCATCGTCGTCGGGCGAAAACTGCTGAGGTCTCGAAATAATATTAAACTCTTTTGAAATTTGGATTTTATGCGTAAAAACATTTTTTCTTCTTGCTCTGTAGGTCTGAGCTGCTTTTCCTCTTTTCCCCTACGCGCCAAGCGGAGGAGAGAAACCCCGAGGCCAGGACAGTAACTCAAAAACATGAACTCAAAAACAAGGCTTTCACTGCGAAGGAGGAAGAGGGAGGCTGGAGAACACAGGAGTTAGGGGTTTAAAAATAATGCACATACTCACAGTTAAATGCACAATATTTCACCTGTGTAAAGGCTCGACGATTCAATAGGCTTCAAAACGTCTCCATCTCGTCTGATCATACCTGGACTCTCTGGAAACCTGACCTCCTGACCTCCTGACCTCCTGGCTGCTCTCTGTCTCGCCGACCTCCTCACTCTTTCCTCCCAGAATGCAAATCTTCACACGGTGTGGGAGTCTGGCTCATTAGAGTGCTTCAATGCTCAACCGCTCTCCAGATTTAAAGGAAGCGTTTTGGACATTTAGGGAAATAAGATGACAGATTTAAACGGGATGATTGATAGCACTCTCACGTGTCTTCACTAAATACAGCTTAGGTTAGCTTAGCACAAAGACTGAATTTCCACTCTCAAATTGTTTAATTTGTGTCATTTTCGGAGGCTCCAGCAAATTTAGCTTTTGACTATTTTAACTATTTTACAAGATTAGAAACGGTACAGATAATCAAGCTAAATCTGCGTCAAAGAAGCTTGTTGTTGAAGGTTGCATTGGTGCCGAGGTTAAATTTTCTGCTGACAACCGTTCTTCAACCCGGCGATCGGGTTGGTTGTGTTATCGAACCGTTCATCACACAAGAACAAAGAAGCCAAATAGTCCGTGTAGCCCTTTTAGCCAGAAAAAAAGATGCATCTTTGCTGGTTAACATTTGCAGTACCATATTCTCTTCTGCGAGGGCACGGGTTGGAGTTCAATCCGTGCGATTCACAGCTGAGCCAGCGTCTTCCCGACGCCGCCGCTGTTCTGAAGTCAGTCAAACTCAAAGTCAAAAGTGTCGGAAACACTCCTTAACGCGATGGAGTTATGGAGGAAAACTGCCTCCACTAAGTCCCTTCCTCTTAAATTGACCATAATTGAATGACCATAAAAACGGTGCGCTCATTTATATAGGCTATTAAAAACGCACACTCGTTTTAATGAGCACTAAAGCAGACACCCCCATTAGCGTTCCCTCTCCCCATCTCTCTCTTTAATCCAACCTCCGTCTAACTCCGTCTCTGTCCCTCTAATCATCAACTACACAGCCTCAGAGTGGTCTTTGCACTCCTAACGTCTCACTCCGGAGTGGAGGGAAGTGAGTTTAACACACATGTGCATGCAAACACACACACACACACACACACACACACACACACAGACCAATGCACGTTTTCATCTTCATGAACCCAGAGGAAAAACAAACTCTGAAGAAGCATCTTGTCTCTCATCTCTGTGATGATTGGAGTCCTGAGCAATACACACAACTCTTATACAATAAAGCTGAGCAAAAGAAAAACAAAAATGAAGGGAAGAGGGAGGCAACGAAACACTCCTTGATTAAAACGCTAGCAGTTCCGATCCAGTTCAGCTTTTCTTTGCTTTTCTCGTAAAGTTGCAGCAGGCAACTTCACGAGTCGGTACCTCCGAAATGGCAGCAAGAGGTAACTCTTTGAATGTTATCCTTTAAGGAGATGTAAACTACACACAATATGCTTCATTTTGCCAACCTTCAAACTAAACAAGCAAAATATCAATCAGCTTTCGCGCTGAGACTCTTTATATTTCACTCTTCACCAATGTGGACACCCGACTCCTACATTTCCACATTCAAAATTTCACCAGAAATGTTTCCTGTTAGTAAATAAGACACTCTTCTCTGCCGCAGCCAAGAAATAGTTGTTTTAAAATCGCCTAGCACTGCTTTATCTAGCTTCTTATTAAAATGAAAATCATAAAACTACAAGAGCCTTCATTGTAGAAAATTCTTCTAAGGGCATTTAAAGGATGACGGGTAAAAGAGGAGTGGCTCAAAAAGTCCCTCGTGAGTCTGGGGTCCTTCAGGAGTGGCCGATGATGTTTCCAGGATGTGCAGTCCGGGTCCAGGTCTATCAAATGGTCTCTACTGGCGTTGTGGCATCGGTGGGCGTTTGGTAGCCAGCGGTTCGGGCTCCTCCGGGCTCAGTAACAAGCTCCTCGTGTCTGGGTACTGGCTGTTGTCAAAAGGCATATGGTGGACACTCTGGACGTGCGTCTTTAGGTTCCCTTTCTGAGATGCTCGGTATGGGCAGAGCTGGCAGCAGAATGGCCTCTCCCCTGAGGAACAAACACACGACACGGAGTAAGTCCAAAAGGTCGAGAAGAAGCCAGAGAGGACGTCATACATTGGACTTTGAGAGGACAAGGCTTTTTTTTTGGGGGGGGGGGGGGGTTTGAATATGCACGGGATTAAAACATGACACAATGATGTGAGCCACGGATGAGACTCTCTGCAGTGGAAACAGAAAGAAATTGATGGAGAAAAAAAGCAAACTCACAGACAAACGTAAACCAAGACACGTGGAAACAGGGGGAATATTATGCGGCGTTCACATACAAATTCTTACACCTGATTTCACAGAAAAAGTTGACTTTACTTCTCTGTGCTGACCAGGATGGACAAACTTTTCCTTTCTTGTTTCTGCCATCTGGAGAAGTGCGCCAGGCATCCCCTGTCTGAACACTCCTAATTTCATCTCCATGTATTTTTTTCTCAATCACCCGCACCGCCCTAATGTCCCCACACGCCTCCACATCCCGCGGTCTCTCTTCTAATTAGACTGACCTACAACGGCACAGACACCTCTACAAAAAGAATAACTCTAAAAAACAATAAAACAAAACTCAGCAACAGTCACCAGAACAAAACAAATGAGATTGCCATTTAATTGCACCTAATTATCATTTTGATAAATGGACGAGTATCAATGCGGGAAAACAAATGACTCCCCTTCTCCCTGAAGAAGAAACAGGGAAATATAGCTGTTATCATACATCATCAGAAACACAACGCAGAGAAAGAAGACGAGGGGCTTGGCGGGGGTGGGAGGGTGGAGGGAGAGAGTGATAAAAAACAACAAAAAAGTATAATTAATCACACAAAATGTAAAAAAAAGAAAAAAAAAAAGTAAAAAGAAGAAGCAAACAGCTGGAGTGACGGCGAGGACGTGAGACGCGAGAAGGAAGCGAGAACCTCCACGACATCGTCCTGCCAGGAAACATGGCTGACGGGTCCGCCGCACTACATTATAATAAAGGTTATCGTCACCGTAAAGCAGCGTCAACACTGCGTCTAATTGGGCCCCTCCGCCGCGCCTGCTCCCATCATTCATTGCATGCGGTAAATCCTGGTGTAGGTGCGTCCTATGTGGGTGTGTGTCTGTGAAATGTGCGGGATTAATTAAGATGGAGGTGCAGCGTGTAGAACGCAGCTCTCTCTGAATGTCAGAGCAGAGCAGATTTACTCCTCTGCTCCTCCTCTTCCTCAATGACCGACTCTAACAACTCTTTAAAGACATGGAAGAAACCTGTAGTTTCTTCCATGTTTGTGCCCATTTACACTGTTCCTGCCCCTTACGGGGCCGACTGGCTTCACCTGACTTTTAGAAGCACCTTTAAAAGCACCCACCAAAGCAACGGATAACCCTTCCAGTGTAATTAAGAACAAAACAGACGTTTTCTGGAGGAACTGTGGTGTGTATACGGAATGCACACATAATACACACATAATACACACATAATACACAATGTCAGGTGTGATCCAACAGCATGTGACAATGCCAGGTGTTAATGCCAGGTGCACAGTGCGCCTCATGTGACGGTTACACAAAAAAACACAGAAAAAAAGATCACTAAGGGGGGGGTGGATTGACATAGACACACATGCGGAGGTGAGACATTAAGCAAACGAAACATGCAGAAGCGATGGGGGGGGGGGGGGGCAGTGGTTAGCCATGGTGCCACATACTTGTTTGGGAGCCTCAGAAGCGGTGGTGTGAGCGTCAGTACCTCTGTGGAGTCCGTTAAAATCAAACCCAACTGTTGGGGGGAGAAGGAGGATGGGGGGGGGGCAGGGGAGGAGAGGGGTGGAGGGGAGGAAGGGGAGGAGAGGGGTGGAGGGGAGGAAGGGGAGGAGGGCATTTGGTTAAAAGCTCTACCAGATCCACACAAGCATATTTTCTCTTTTTCCCCCCTCCTCGCCACGCCACCCCTCCGCCACACACACACACACACCATCATTTGCCACCAGCACCCTTGCTAATAGAGGGGGAGCTGGCAGTGATGATGGTGGTGGAGGAGGTGACGACGGCGGTGAGGATGAGGATGATGATGATGACGGCGGCGATGATGGTGATGGGACCTGGTGGAGGCAAGTCAGTGATTTAATATGACGCATGTTAATAGAGGCCTCGGGGTGGCTGGCCTTTTCTGCGCGTGGACGGCCATGCTGAAGACGACCACCGGTGACAACATTAATTACAGCTTCTGCAAGTGTTTACAGACCCTCTGCATGTGTGTGTGTGTGTGTGTTTAGAGCAGGGCTCGCGGGGAAAGCTGAGCGCTGCATCACTTACCATTTGGCCTCTGTCACTTAGAATCACTGGCTGTGCCACATATCATTCACACTCTCTATAAAGAAGCTACTTATCTCGTTGTCTACTGTGATCACTGCCGGGCCCGGGTGATGGACATGACAGCACGGGAGAGAGAGGAGGAGGAGGAGGAGGAAGGGGAATTGAAGAGGGAGGAAGAAAGACAAAAGCCAGAAGGACAGGCGAGTGGCAAGGGAGAGGAGAAAAGGTGAGATGAGAGGAAAGATTTGAGAGAAAGGGGGGAGAAGACACAGAGGAAGGTGAGCAGCATGCATGATGGGAAACAGGAGAGGAAGGGAGAGAAGCAAACATCTGATACATGATGAAGGAGGAAGAGGACAGGCGACACTGTGAGGTGAGAGGGATGGAGAAAGAGCGAGAGGGGGGATATTACTTGGGAAGGAAGAGAGAGAAGGACGAGGGAGGAAATTAGAGTTCGGGAAGGAGAAGCAATCACGAGACGGAGAAAGTGGAGTAAACGGCGGGATGTCTGAACCGAGCCGTTTAGCGAATGGCGTCGGGACGCATGCAAATGGATCTTAATGCTGGCGCGGACAAATGATGTTCTGCTTCATTAGAATGCACAATTCCATCTCTCCAATTGACATGTGATTAATAATGTATATGATTTGTCACAGGTCAGTATCCGGAGTAAGTCACGTTTCAGTTGAAAAAATAGACACAGCTGCCCGGCCCGGGGCGGGGAGGGACTCACAGACTGGCTGTCGCACGCAACGGAACAAAAAGATCTGTTTGGATTTATTCTGGTGAATGCAGAATGGGGAGTCAGATGATGAAATATCGCTGAGAGTGTGAATCCCGGTGCATATATTCTCCATTTCTCATGATTCCGGGTGAATAAATAGCGGCTTGGGGAGGGGGGGTGTGTGTGTGTGCACAGGTGACACAGGAAGGACGGTTGAAGGAGTAGCCAAAATAGTGGGAACATCTAGTAGAACTTGCAAGTGGAGGTCAGTCCAATAGTGGAGGTCAGTACAGTGCAATAAATGTTCAGGGTCTCTATTCATGTCCGTCATTCCTTGCCCTTTGTACCTGTGACTGATGGTCTTTCCTAAAGGAGTGGATTGTTCTGTTAGCGTTTATTGATAGCACATGCCGAACATACCTTACATATTTAGATCACCTTGATGCTCATAGACATGATTCATGCTCATTTTTGGTTTGGTTTTGCAACATTAATCATTTTGGCACGCTGCGTCTGTGTGTCACCGCTGTTCTCAAAAGGGAATTGCTTAATTTTTCCCATTATTGTGATTATTTACATACAGCATATCGGAGCACCTCCAATGAAAAACGAGGAGGTTCGGACAATTTCAATAAAGCACAAGGGTTTAAAGTTTTGATTTGGTTGAATGCAATGTTAAAAGTTGTTTCCATTATATAGTTTGACTCACTGGGAGCATGCTTGCGTGTGCGATCTGTGTTCCCTTGGGTGTCTCTGTCTCGGGGCTGGTGGGGTTTACCTGTATGGGATCTCATGTGCGTACGCAGATGGCTGGGCTGACTGAAACTCTTCCCGCACTCATGGCAGAAATACTGTCCCTGCCGCATCAGGGACCTCAGCATCCCTGATCACACACAAAGAGAAACACATGATTAAACATGGTACCACACAGCAAATCTCAGCGCAGTGCAATCACAGGTTAAATATGACGGTGGTCCAAAGAAGGAGCATTCGCAATGGAGCTAAATAAAAGTGCTGCTGCTGTCATGCCCATGATTCACACAGAGTGAAGCACTGCGTCTGTTTTTAGATCGCTGTTGACTAAACCATTTTTTTTCAGTGTTTTGTTCTTCTTTACTTATTTCTATTTTAGCAGATCACTTGATTGAGTTTCATATTGTTTTATTTATGGCATAGCTTTCGAATTTCAAATTTCACCAAAGCAAAATCCACATTTTAGAACATTTTACGGAAAATGTGTTTACATTTAAAGGGCCAGCACGTCCTTTGATATTTCACATGTGACATTCTCTTTCGAGGAGTGGTGGAAAAGTTGGACATCAGCAACAGTTTATTTCCCAGGCAGCGGACATTTTCAGATCGAACGAGGGCCGTAAAGGTCAGTAAGTGTGTGTGTGTGTGTGTGTGTGTGTGTGTGTGTGTGTGTGTGTGTGTGTGTGTGTGTGTGTGTGTGAGCTCAGAGCCGGGATGCGGCGGTGGAGGTGGGTAGCGTCAGTAGTGGACTCGCGCACGCAGGCATTATTAGTATGTCTAATGTGTCATTATGAGCGGCTGGCTCCAGGGGCTGGACTGCAACTGTCACAGAGCATCATCTCAGAGGCTGACAGACAGACGCAGACACACACACACACACACACACACACTCACACTCTGCATAAATTATCGGCGATTAAAACGCCCCCGGCTACGATGTGCCCGCTCCGCTGCCCGTGTGTCACATGTCAGGTGTGTGTGTGTGTGTGTGTGTGTGTGTGTGTGTGTTTTAAGTTGTATATGTGCGGGTTTGGTCCGAGGGGAGGAAAGCGTGGCGTAGGCTGGCCACACACACACACGCACACACTCACATTGACACAATGACACTCCCATTACATGCACAAGTCAGATTTACATGTTAATGGCTTTAAATGGCAAAAGAAACTTGTTGAATTTTGATGACTTCACATCTCGTAAATCCTGTCACCTCACATGACGCGTGTAAATGAGAGATCAGGAATGGTTTCGCTCAGTCGGTCTCCTGGCGGAGACGGGGAAAAGATTACGTTGCTGTTGACGAGTTGCTTTACTTTCTTGCCCTGTCAATATTCATGCAAACCTTTAAATACCAAACCAATAAAAAAATATATATCTAACTCAACACGATCGCTTTGACGAGGCACTATGAGAAAAATCCCACCAGGAAGGACATGAAGCCCGACTATGTGACCACCCCCACATGCACACGCACACCTGTAACCTCTCCTGCTGACAGACAAACGGCCAGGGGGGTTGCTGGTGCTTTCCTACTGCACAAACCCCCGGCATCAACACCCACAGCATTAATACTGGGCATACACCTGGGCAGTGCCCAATGGTTGTGACTCTGTTTGTGTGTGTGTGTGTGTGTGTTGGGGACTGGAGGGACACAGCAGGACAGGGAGGACAGGGAGGCGGAGGAGGTGACGGAGAGTGTCTCTGGCAGCCCGACTGCCGGCCTCTGGATACTCTACTTGTACTCCGGGCCGCCAGCCCTTCTCACTGACGCACTAATGAAAGACAAGACAAGAGCTGGACGCCAAACACAAGCAGACGCACACACGCACACGCGCACATTACAGGGAGAAAACGGGAGAAAGACTCAGTTGCTCAAAAAAAGGTCACTTTATAGCATGTGACTCAAAGGGCTAAGGCGGCTGGTGACGATATGCGCCTGGACGGGTGACAGCGATGTCATGCGTCGGCTCTGGGGCTGTTGTCTGTGACCTCTGGCTCCGTGCAGCCCCACTTGACCTCAGAGACACAACCGAAAATGGGCAAATAATACGCGTGTTCGGTAATGACCATTTCCAAAGCAGCTGGTGGGGTAATTATTCCGTCTCCTCTCTCTCTCTCTCTCTCTTTTTCTGCCTCTTATTTTCCCTCTCTCTCTCTCTCTCTCTCTCTCTCTCTCTTTCGCCCGCGTCCGCTCGCATCTGTGCGAGTCTCTCGTCAGGCGGAGCCGTGACCCAAACCGCTTGTGACAGCGTTCTGGGAGAGTGGAGGTGGAGACTCGGCATGCCTCGCAGACCTGAGAGTAGCAAAGGTTCTCTCACGTGTCTCACATGAAATAAAAATATATTTTTTTTAAACACACACACACACACACACACAGACTCATTTTGCATCACAAATGCCGCCCCAAATGGAGCCTTTCTCACAATCATGCACACGGGTGTGTGTGCGCCCATTTAATGGACCTCCTCTTCATTATTCAAAGGCTTGTCAGAATTGAGTGGCGCGTGTGTCACTCAATCACTTTCTGCCAGATGGCGAGTTGTGGTGAGAGAGTCAGCATGTGGTAGGGAGGATAAAAGGACACACCTAATTGCATCTACGTTGCACATCATACATTTGGTTTGTATCTATGTTCTACTGTTGCTTCTCCTGGTCTATCCTGCCAGGTTTAGGCAATTCTACTCATGACAGCTCAAAGCAGAATGCTTAAGTCACTTGGAAGCATTTCTCCTGCACTCCTGACATTTGGCATTTTCTCCAAAGCAAAGCTCATGGGGGCGTTTTGTACGTGAGCTGATGACGAGCGATTTCACTTTCACAAAGAGAGCGACGGCACTGCGAGGTCTAAAAAAACACACACACTTGTATACGTATTTGTCCCAGGACAATACATCAACAAATAAAGACATATTTGAATGGCTCCCTACCAGTGGGGTCCATCAGTGCGTTGGCTGCACCCCAGCGGTGGTACAGGGCAGCCAGCTCATGGGGGTTGTAGTTTTTGAGGAAGCCGATGATGTCGGTTGGCATCTCTGGTGTCTCCGCCATCGGCTCCTGCTTCACATCTCCACGCGCCTCTGTAGGCAAAGACGTAGAGGAGGAGGAGGAGGAGGAGGAAGAGGAGGAGGAGGAAGAGGAAGAAGTCAGCAGGCTGCCTCCGTGTGCCTGGGACGCCCCGTGGTTGGGTCCCGCTGTGGCGCTATGGCTGATGGCGCTGGGCCTCGTGGCGTTGGCCCGGCTCTGGCCGTGGGCGCTGATGAGCGGCTGATGAGGGGAACCCCTCGCTCTGCTGTACTCCGCCAGGCCGTGTTTGCTGGACAGCATGAAGCCGAGGCCCTCTTGAGGCATCAAGTAGTGGTCAGCAATCCGGGGCGCGGTGGCGGAGCTGGGGCTCGGGGCAGAGGAACGGGCGGCGGCGCCTGTGCTCTTCTCCCGGGAGCTGGAGGAGGACGATGAGCCTCCGCGAGGGTACGAATCCGTTTTGGGTTTCAGGCGGGACGAATGACTCTGGTCCCCCTTGTGCCGGACTTTGCTGCTGCTGCTGTTGCTGCTGCTGCTGCTGCTGCTGCTGGCTGGCCGGACTGGGACTCTCCCAGCCTGGGTGCCCGAGGTGGATGGGGATCCCCTGGACAACGAGGAGGGAGGGGTAGAGGAGGCTGACGATGATGGCATGGCTGCCTGACTGGCTGGCCTACTCTTCTTCGGAACGTCGCTGGAGTTGTTTGGGGGCTGGGTACGTTGGGCGCGCACCAGTGGAGGCAGCGGCGGGCATTCCTTCCCCTCCAGGACCGGCGGGGGACCGGTGCGTCTCTTTGAGGCCAGCAAGTTGTCCCTGGAGCCCTTAGAGCTGCTTTTCAGGGCCCATTTTGGAGCGAGGTTGGAGCTGCTGCTGTTGATGCGGTGAGCCACCGTCTGGTGCATCCAGAGCACCTCCGGGTAGCGGGTAGAGTGGGAGCAGAAGGAGCACTTGTGGCTGGGGAGGCTCTGACTGTCCTGGGTCAGGGAGGCTACGGCCCTGCAGCCCTCAGCCCTCACGCACAGATCCACAGGCGTCAGGTTGGGATTGGGCGGGGAGGATCGAGACGAAAGGTAAGCAGGGGGGGCTGCAGAGTTGCTCAGCCCCTGTAGAAGAGCTCTCTTCAGTTTAGGATACCCACCCGGCGTGCCTCTGTCCGAGCTGGGGCTGGGAAGGGGGCCGGGTCTAGCTCGGGGGGCAGCCGGGTGTTTGACACGATCATGGGTCAAATAGGCCTGCAGATCCGAGGTGACAAAATCACAAGGGCTGCAGATGTAAGGCTTCTCATCTGTAAGGACAGGGGGGGGAAAAAGGAAGGTCAATGACTTCAAAGGGAACGATCTAGATTATACTTTTCTGTGCTGCCAGATTCAGATTGCTGCATCCAGATGCAGGTTTGCTGAACAGCCAGCAGGCCGCAGCATTGTTCAGCATTCCCAGATCTCCTCCTTTTCTTTTACATGTCAATGTATCTTGAAATAACTTCTACTATTACAAGCACAATAAACATACCAACAGAACTATAAACAATGCATGATTGTTCACCATCATTTGATTGTTTTAAGTACTTTATATTGGTTCATAATGATGCTGCAGTAGTTGGTGCTGCTGTGAAGGTTGTTATGTTCACATGTTAAATCCGTCTCAGAGTTGTTGATCCATCACTATGGTAATTGTTGGGAATGTATTATGGTCCATATGGTGTGAGACAATTACACCATGATATTAAACAGCACAGTGGAGTAAAATCAACACATTTTGACAAATTAAACAAATGGGATGTCATAAAGCAATTACTTATTTTGTTGTTAATTTTAAAGAATTCGTTGCATTATTGTTTACTCATATTGGTTCCTGATTACCAAAGTGAAGCTCTATGAATTCCCCACAAGATGGCGTGTGTGACCACCTTTTCTTTAAGGGAATTTAACTGCTGTGACTGGGAAACTTCAAATCTGTGTTTGATTTCAGAAATTAAGAGAATACAGACAAAAAATTAGAAATAGACATTGTGCTAATTGAAGACGTGGTATTCATAGTGAGTGTGATATTTTATTAAACGTGAAATCCGATAAAAGATGAATATCCTCAAGTTTAAAAATCAAAGTTGTTTTTTTTTAACATGAATCCTCAAATTGGCCTTAGTCTGGGTCCACACATACATGCACACGCTCCAACCGATCTGATTCTGTAAGTATCACATTATGATACTCGCCACTACCCCTCCTCCTGTTCACAATAGCACCCGTAACATGCCATCTGTTTTTCATTTGGCTTCCTGTTGGCAGCACAAGCCAACACACACAGCTCAAACGCTGCCAAGGTGAAGCCCTGGTGCTGCGCAGTTGTAGTGGGGGGGGGGGGCTAGTTAAGGTTAGGCCCATTTATCAGGCCGATGTCAGCCCTGTATTATTTAAATATTGACAAGTTAAAGTCAAAGAATGGAATAACCTGATCATTAGTAGCTCGACACATAGAGCGTCCTCTGAGTGTCTCTTTCCCAATGGCCTGCCTCCCTGTACCATCGGGAGGTGACTCTATAAATAACCAATCCCTCAGACATCGGGTAGCCCGCCCGGCTCAATAGTAAGAAGAGTGGATGAGTGGCAGGGGAAGTGTCACAGGAGGTAACCTTAGAGATTACAAAAAACTCAGGAGGGGGACAGGGAGAAAAGGGTGGGCCGGTGGCCAGAAGCCATCTTGCTGAATTATTTAAAGCTTTCACGTAGGCCGTCTTTGTCACAAATATAAAAACCAAAATAAATCATATCCCATTATACAACGCCTTTCTATACATCTGTATATATCTGTCAGTTGAGCTAAAAAGACCCTTTGTCCCAAATGCAATTTCTGAAAGCAGACACCAGGGTGCATGTGGGTTGGGAGAGAGTGAATAACGTACAGTATATGTGTTATTACAAGTTAACCACACAGGAGTGAAGTACAGCACTATTGTAATACTGCACAACAAATAAAAAATAAATATCACATTACTGGCTGTTATATAATAAACAAGCAAAGAGAACCGCAAAGAGTAAAAAAGGAAACATGCAGACAAGACTTTCACGGCCATGACATAAAAAGGAGAGCAAAAGACATATTCACGCACAGATAAGGGGGGTGAGGGGAGTTTCCTGAGACAGGAAGACCTGAAATAGCGCACAGCTCGATCAGGCCTGAACAAATCTGGCTGCTATTTTTGAATGGCTGTACTAAGAGGGAGGAATTGAGGCAATCTCTACAATTCTTAGCCATCCCCAATCCGACCTTGTCCAAAATGTGTTTTTAGTGAATGTGAAAGATGAAAGACGAAAGCCTGAGTGCTTTAACTTATTTTAGCTGTGATTGTGGGTGTTTTGCCCTTGCATGGGTAGGCTTTCTTTTTCTGCTCTGCGGTGTTTATTGGTTGTGGAGGTGAAAAAAATGATAGGCATTCCAAAAATGCCCTCTTCTCTGCTGACATGCCACTGAAAGGCACTCACTTTCACTTAACTGTGAGCTTTATTGCTCTGCCATACAAACTTATTGCACTGACATTTTTCAATGGCCTTTAAAGTTGATTTGCCCATATTTGAGTATTAGTATTTGTGTGTAAAAGAGCTGAAGTCAGATGTTATTCTGACATTTTGCCACACGGTGGCTCCAGCTCCAACTCCATAGAGCCCGATGAGCCAAGGACCTGCACCTACACAAAGCACATTTCATCAACAGATGTTTACGACATGCCAAGGCCCCGAGTGGGAGGCTTGAAAAGGACTACAGTCATTACTGCTGGGACAAATGCTGCCCAGCGCGCTTCTATTAGTGAACTCGTGTGCGCACCATTTATCTGCACGCATAGCTGCAACATTTTCCTGTGACAAACAATAAATTACCTATAATTCCCAAAAGACTAATGCTTACCCACATGACAAGTATCTTTTTTTATTAGAAATAATCATTTAAATGTCCTAAAGAAAGAGAATTATTTGACCGACCTGAAATCTCTCCCGAGTTTGCGGTACCCATCTCTGAGGCCTGGTTTCCGAGGGTGGAGGCAGGTGGAGAGTCTCCGTACCCCGGGGTGCTGGGCCGGCTTGGGGAGCCCGACTCTGGATCACTGGTGGAGCCCCATCGGTCGTCTCTTGTAGTTCTGTCCTTGTCCCCGACAGATGCCCGACCTCCGTCCTTCCTGTGGACCCGCTGGTGGACGGTCATCTGGTGGCGACTGCGGAACACCTTCCCGCACTCGAAGCACTCGTTGGACTTGGAGGACGATGGTCGCCGTCGGTCCTGGCGGGACGAGGGCCGGTACTCGGAGTCGCTGAGGCTCTCTGGTGTCCGGTCCCCGGAGGAAGCATGGCTTCCCAAACCGGAGCTGCTGCGGCGGCCTGAGCTGCGCTTACCTCGACTTTGCAGGACATACCGGCTGCTCTCCTTTTCAAAAACCACAGCAGCACCAGCGAGGGCCTCCTCCCCCATACTTCCTCCCCCATAGGAGGCTTTGTAACTCTGCTCCACTGGCTCAACAACCCTTCCTTTAGTAGCTAATTGCCAGGCCTGGTAGCTGCAAACTGGATCCAGCTCTGGGATTCGTTGACCTAGCATGTCCTTTTCACTCTCCTCGTCTTCACACAGGGCCTTTTCCTCGACAGGCTTGAGGTTTAAGTAGTCAAGGAAACTTCTCTTAGCAGCCGGTGCCTCCTCATCGTCACTGAGGCTGCATTGGCTCTGGGATTTCTTGCCATAGCCGAGATTGTGGATTCTCTCGTGGGCCCTCAGACTCTCCCGGCTGTGGAACAGGTTCCCACATTTGGAACACATTTGATAGATGCATGTGATAGAGCCAGTGGCCATTTCAGGATCCTGGGCTACGTCGTTGATGGTGGCGGGAGGCTCAGCGAGTTCTGCTTTTGACCGTGACCTGGACTTGGTGTTGTGGGTTTTCATGTGCGATTTGAGGAACCAAGCCTCGCGGAACCGCCTGCCGCAAATACGACAACAGTGGTCCAGGATCCCTGCATGTTTCTTCATGTGCGACTTAAGAAACCAAGCCTGGGTAAAGACCTGGCCACAGGTCTCACATGGGAAGGTCCCGTCGCTCTGGGGCGGGGCGACGTCGGGTTCGGGCACAGCCTCTTCCTTAACAGTGGCCTCCTCCTCGGTGTCTGCCGTTATGTGGACCTTTTCAATATGGCTGAGGAGCTGGTCTTCTCGATGGGCCTCGTAGCCGCACAAGCGGCAGCAGTAAGGCCTCTGGTCGGTCACGAGCTTCTCTCTTTTCAGGCTCCTCCCAGGCACTTTCCTCCGACCCTCCTCGCCGCTGTCCCCGTTGATCATCCGGTTACAGGCCGAGCTGCTCTTCGTTGGGCTCGTCCCTCCGTCGAGGCCCTCGGAAACGCTCATCTCCTCCTCCTCGGCAGCACCCTCTTCGTCGTCATTGGAGTGGTGGCTGGAGAGCGTGCCCAGTTTGTGGCTGCGGATGTGAACTTTGAGGTTGCCCTTCTGAGAGGCCCTGTGGTCACAGTAGGGGCACTTGTAAGGGCGGGCGCCGGTGTGGCGTCTCATGTGCTGCGACAGGGAGCTGAGGAAAGGGAAGCTGCGGCCACAGACGTTGCAGTCGTAGGCCCCGGGGATTTTGTCGTCGTCGGCGCCATCGGCCTCGTTCCTGAGCTGTTCCCCAACCAGCTTCTCCTTCCCTACGGCCTGGGCCGCCATCACCTCCACTCCGTCTCTGCGATTCATTGCACAAACCGAACTACACCTTCTATCTGGCCTTTCACAAACTCGAAAAAAGCCCAATCTGCTGCTATCTGCAGTTGCACATCTAGGGATTTCTGGCTCGTCTTTGCCGGTCAGTTAAAATGCGATCTGCCTTCAATCATCCAGAGATCAAGCTGCTTACACAGCAACTCTCCAGTTACTGGATGCAACAGCATTTATCCATCTTCATCTGGCACTGTCGATGAATCATTGGCTCAATCTATCTGTGTGCCGCTGTATAATTTATTTAGTTTTAAGAGGTCAAATGTAAAATATTTTTCATGCTAAATGAGTTTTAAAATCATGCAAGAAATGTTATAATCTGTTTTTGTCCAAAAGGAGGGTTTTCACTCAATTCTTGTTTGCCATTGTGTCAGTTGACGGAAGTTTCAATGGGTCTTTTTCATCAGGGTTACTTTTCCACCAAACTTCTGTTCTTCATATTATCTTCTCTTCATTCTCTTCAGTTTTAAGCACACTAGCACCATTCAGGTAATGTGACGGTGGGCTTTTCACCTGAGAAGGAAAGAAAGGAGACGATGAACATACAAGAGCACGTTCTTTTTCCATTCGGATTAACAAAAGCAGCTAAATATTAACGAATGAAAATGGTTTCAGATACACTTCATACATACAAATGAATTAGATAATCAACTCATTGTCTTTTAACCTTCTTAAACACCCAAATCTATTGTAACAGGGTTTGAATTTACCTAAAAAAAAAAAAAGACATTTGCATGTGTGTAAACTCAGGGCCGATGGGGTACGTATCTATGGCTGACACTGTGCACCACCACCACGCACGTGCACACGTGTGTGTGTGTGTGTTGCCTGGTTGTGCACGAGTCGTGCAGGGCTCGGCGGCTCGGGGGCTCCGACGCCACACTGGCTGAGTCGACACTTTACACAATCAGCACGCGTGAGTGGGGGTAGAGGGGGAGGCAGAGGGGAGGGGGGGAGGTTGGTGTTGTGCTGTGTTCACATCAGCAAGATCAGCAGTGCCACCATATTCCCTCCCCGGCACCGGCCTCACGCACACGCCTCAACTGACATTATCACGTGACGGGGATCTTAAGTACACAACAGGAAGTGGCTCTTCAGACAGTTTGCTTTGCTCTATTTCTCAAACGAGAGTTGAACAGCGTCACGTAGGGAGCCAAACAGAAAGAGAGAAGTTGATAAGAGGAGAAAGTGAACGCCGTTGACAACGTTATACTTCACAGATTTTCCTTCGGTGGGTGGAATAATTTGCATATTTTCAATAATAGATTTCTGAATATTATTTCTTGCTGCAAATTCCCAAGAAGCACCAATGGTTAATCAGATATTTATGTATTTCGGCTCATTGATAATGTCATGAAAAAAGCGCATTTTCTGTTTAAGTATTGTTGATTACAATGTCATAATTATTTCTTACTGGAGTATTCATTTCAGCAGACGCTGGAGCCTGAATGGTGGACTATATGAAATGTGACTGACGCCATTATTACATGCTATTATATAAAGTGCCAGGACCCATAAGCTGAGTTACTGCCAGGTTCTAATTATAAGTGGATAATTGATCATAATCATAAGACGATGAGGTGGTGGAGTAGAGACGTTAGCACAAGAACAATCATATAAACTCTCACAATGAAATTGGCTACCCTGCGCCAGAGCCACTGATCTATCTAGAAGGGTTTAAGCTATTGAAATCACGGCGCCCCCCGATGGTTCAGCATGCTTTCTCCAGCAGCGCTGGCGAGTATAGTAGTGTATCCGCCAGACGTACAGCTCTGACCGCCGTAACTTTGCATTTAGGAAAAACTCTTAACGTTTCCTATCGGTGGCAGTGCCTTGGACCCCTTCGGATCAGACTAAACTACTTGATGGATTGCCAAAAACTCTTCTACATACATTCATGTCCTCATGAGGATGAATCCAGATCCACTTCCTTGATCCCCTGACTTTTCCTCTCGTGTCACCATTGGTTTAAAGTTTGTACTTTACATCTAATTGAGGGATCGCCATAACATTTTGGCAGGACATTTATAGGTCTGAGGATGAATAATGACTCCTCCTCCAGCGGCACTGCCATGTTCACAATTGTGGGGTTGAGTCTCATTAAGAAGCATCACATGGGCAAAGTCTCGATTTGTCCAATACTTTTTTTGATGGAAAGAATACATGCAAAAATCCAAATCCACCTCAGCCGCATTGTGTGTGTTTGATCAGAAAAGGTTAGCATGCTAACAAGCTAAACTAAAACGGTGATAAGTGGTAAGCAATGTATGTTTGTATTTTAATGGGTGACATACTGGCTTTAATATTGAGCTCAAAGCACTGCTACCGCCTCACAGAGCAGCTGGCATGCAGTAGATTATTTTATTCTTCTTTTTTTTTTTCTTTAAGTATTACAATTTGCATTGCAACCAGGATATGAAACATGGCTGTCATTGTGATCTGTGTCCCTTGTGCAATCACATGAAACTGCACAACAGTGTGCAGTCTTTAATATATCGTAACACCATCTTGATTGTTAGTGTAATATGCAGTTCACATTCATTAGAATTCCACAAGTGTGGGGATTTGGGAGGGATGATTCAAGTGCCATGGTCGCAAGCTGTTAATGAAATAGAAAAAAACATCAAATCTGAACAAGCAAATGTACGAGCTCAGGCTTCATTTGAGAGATTAAAGATAAAGGATGAACTTGACATGGTGATTAGAAGAGGAACAACAGAGCTCAAGGGAATTACATCCAACACGCTGCATGATGGACAATCGGATGATGATGGCCATAAATCAGCAATATATGTAACACGGCTGTCCCACCCCATCTATCAATCCACTGGTTTTCCCTCCATCTGTTCCATCTCTCTGTCTGCACACCCAATGTTGCTCATTAATACTTCCTTGCAGCCCTCTTGCTAAAAACAGAGGATAATAATCTTATTTCCTTTTAAATGGCCTAGCTGATTGGGGGTCAGCAGGGCCGCGGGGGGGTTGAGAGTATTCAACAGTAAGCCTGTCATCCACCAGACAGTTGCATGTGCAAATTGAAATGTAATGGGATTAGCCCCCAGAAGGGAAACAATGCAGGCTCCTCGTGATACAGGCAAAGGGGGGAAAGAAATGACAAATTGGCTTATGGAGGGAGAAACTGTCCAGGAGAGACGGACACATTGGCAATCATCGGAGTCATCAAAAAACACAAGAGAGGCATCAAAGCTTTCTTAGAGGCCAATACGGTACAGTAAATGGATCAAGTGTCTCCCCGAATCTCACAAGAACAGTCCACTTTGTGATCTTTCAGCTAATAAACCTCTCACTCACACACACACACACACACACACACACACACCAGATTAGTAAGACCAGAGAGAGGGTGGGGCTGCAGTGTTTATTTCCTTAAGTTAAGTGCTGTATTCTGATGAAAACTACTTGGAGTTCCCTGCAGGAACCTGATCACAAATGAAACACTTCAGAGTTCAGTTCAGTCCAGCCCTCGATGGGAACGTTTTTGCGCCGATATCAGATGGGCCATTAATGGCAGCCCCACCAGGAGTCACAGGGAGTGAGTGGAGGCCTACACTCAGCTGATAATGACTGCCGGGTTGAACAAAAAACAAACTGTTCTCCCCCCCCCCTCCTTCCTTGCACGCCCAACCTCTGCTGTTCAACTTTCTGAACGCTGATCCGTGGCGGCCCGAGGTCCCGCAAGAGGACCGCTGTTATTTTCCCACCCATACACATCCTTTTCAGAGCAGCCCCGCTATTTCTGTTCCCGAGACTCCTGATGTTCACATCTGGAGGGAGTCTTTAAACAAACTGTCATACTGTGCATGCTGGCTACAGCTGTATGGTTTTCTCTTTGGTTTCTACTTTTCACACATTAGGCGTGTCGAAAAGGCAAGATTTTCTACTTTAAAACTACGCTTAATATCAATACTTCTATCGCACACACACACACAAAAGATTAAGCTGTACAAACTGTGGGTCTCTCCGACGCTCTCCGGTAAAACAACTCAATACCTGTCAACAAGTTTAGGAGGAAAATAGTCCAGTTCTAAACTTCTTACTCAGGGACATTGCTTATTGAAATCTGCTCACCTGCTCCCTCTAGAGGCCACACATCCGGCTTGCAGAGCACATTTGGTGCACTAATATGAAAATAAGTATTAAAATGTGGTAACAAAACCACACTAGTGCAGCAGTCTACTATTTAAAGCTAAGCACAGCTCCATGAGAAGGTGCCAAGCCTCCATTGTTCTGCTCCTCAATTACAGAACACACACTGTCATCAAGCCAGGAAGCACCTCCGTCATAGCAATCATCTCAGAGGCAGCCACGGCCCGAATCTCCTGCACCCAAGGGTGTGGAGATGGGCTTAGATAACACGCTGCCTCCCTGTCACCGTCTCACTGATGACGACCGTCGTTCACGTGTGGTTGACATCCTTCTGCTGTGATGGGCTCTGCCTCCCCGTCCCACACAGCAGCACAGAGGAGAGCATGAGGTTGAGTAAAAATACAGAAGTGTGTGGGGGGGGGGATAAAGAGTGGACCTCTTGTTTAAATGCACAAACACACACACACACACATGCATAGATGCAGGGGAACTGAAGATTCAAGAAGCTCAACAGAGGGGGCTTTTAATGTCCACACACATCGTTTGAAAGTCTATATGTGCACACTGTGGGCTTTTAACACCGCTTCATACAGGCACCTTTGAGAGCTGAACGGCTGCTCACACACACACACACACACACACACACACACTGCTCACCAAGCATAACATATAGGGAGCACTTTACAAAAAACCTTGCTATCCTCAGTTGGGTGTGCTCAAAAAGTAGAGACATTCAGTGCTCAGAGTGGGACAGAGGGGATGGTATGGAGTCTTTAACACACACACACACACACACACACACACACACACACACACACAGTGCAGAGCCAGTGTATTCTCAGACCAATCAATAATCCATTATGAACAGACTCCTCTCCACCTCACACCCTTCTCTAAATCGGCGGACAAAGAGCTCTACTGCGAGCTCCACCATGAAGTGAGAGAGGGGTAAAGCATCGCACACACACACACACACACACACACACCTTCAGGCTGTTTGTAAAACACACGCACTGTAGCTTTATGATATTATTAGGATGACAGAGCGTCAGCTGTGGAGCACAAAAGTAGCTTTTGGGAAACTCAGTGGTTGACAACGTTGTGATTCAGCTGCTGTTTAAGTTCTGTGGATTCAGTTACATCCCGTTTATCAAAAAGTGAGTCAGTACAGGACTCATTTACATTGCGCACACACATAACCACATTTGGCCATGAATGCATCTGTGTGCACATCCAAGCTAGATGGGGCAATCCTTCAGAGACTGAATGCAGATGGATGTGGTGCGGATGTTTGTTGAAGTCATTTTTGTGCTCAATGCTGCTTGATTTAGGTCTATTTGGACTGGACAGGCAGTTTACCAACAGCTCTTTTCTTTTTTCTTTCCAGAACTCCAGCTTTGACTCTC